CTATACCACCACAAATAACCATCTTGATTTATATGCAGTTGAAACTACTAATAAAAGTGACTAATTGAGAAGTCTTATATTAAAGAAAGCAATTTACAGCAAAAAAATTATCATCTTACTACATACATTGAAAAAAATTATTCTAACAAAGTAATAATAAAGGATTTTCTTCTTCTTTCAGGAGAACGCAAGGGTTAGAGTCACATTGTCCTTGGGTGAGGTTGAAACATCCATGTTTACTCCAACAACAAGAGGGTGAGGACATAGAACAGGCCCAGCTTCTACATCAATCTTGTCCCATAAGAAAATGTTCCCCATACAGCATATATGGATATTAGCCAGTCCCTGGCTCTTGACTGGTTAAGAATTCTCTAAATATAGTAATAAGCACTTCTAAGAATGTTCAAGAGATGCTTTAAAAATACTTGTCTACCAAAAGTGCTTATAATGTGCATGTCATCAAATACACTGAAATACATTTGCCTAATATATGTCTGTGTACACACACACACATTTTAAAAATGTTTAAAATGCTACATCTAGACCCGGCATTGCCAAAAGGTAGATTCTGCCTCCCAGGAGACATTTGGCAATGTCAGGAGACATTTTTGATCATCATGACTGGGGGTTGGAGTACTAATGCTATCTAGTGGGTAGAGTCCATTGATGCTGCTAAGCATTAAGAAACCCCTAACTAGACATAGTCTAATACCTTACATTTAATTTCTACTTAATGTTGCTTGCAAATTTGCTTAATGCCAAGTAGTAAACAGTGTGATTCACATTTCAGAGGATGATGTTCTGCTGTTTTATGGCAGGTAACATACTTATGGATTTAGTGTAGCTACTTGATTTTACACTTGGAAAGTCTCTCGGAAGACTTTGTGTTGTTTCATTTTGTGTGATGGTTGGCTATGTATCTCAGTGTGACATGATATCCTTTCAGTTCTCTTAGGCTAAGAAGAGAGCTTTTGCCAGCAGCCCTTTTCTAAAGAGTAGCAAAACCATTTTTCTTACTTATTTCTCATTCATCTCTCTCATTATACATCTTGATATTAAATGTGAAATGAAATCAAAGCTAAGGGAACAGAGACAGAACAAAGGGTAAAAAGACTCAACATAAGATGTTATTCAGAAACATATGTTTTCTTATCTTGAATGGGGTTATGAAAAGTTTAAGTTTACTAAAATCTCATCACCATAAAATAAATGGTATTGTTCATCTTTGAGTTATATGGCAAACACAAGCGGGATTTTTAACTCCAGATAAGCATTTTCTTTAACAAATGATTTCAATAATTTAACTAACGGTACTTGAATTCTGAAAGGCTAAATATCACAAGTAATAAATAAAACCAGTAACTAGGGGAACCAAGGGAAATATTTTTAAGATTAAATATAAGCAGATTCTGTATGGCTCAAAAGGGACCACTTAGTTAGTCTTGAAATTAAAACAAAGCAAATCAGAGATTTAGTGTGATCATGCCATAGACAGTTACAATGCACTTGCATTTTTCCTTTGTGCCCTAAGTCTCAAAGCATCTAGCATGACTAGTCTATGGCAAATAGCATTACTTAATGCTCACTGCTAATGATCTACATGATAAAATAATTCAAACAAGATATGGAATACATTTTCAGTATTTGTCCTATAATTTTTCTAGATCCCTTGCACACAATGGACTGAAATATATGTATTTTATCCTCTCCACAAAAAATTTCATACAATTATAATATTGGTGAAGATGACATACTGCCATTTACGACAACATAGATGGACCTTGAGAATATTATGCTAAGTGAAACAAGTCAGTCAGAAAAAGCCAATATTTCACTCATATGTCAGATATAAAACTGAAACTCATAGACACAGACAACAGTATGGTAGTTACCAAAGAGAAGAAGGTAGAGGTAGTAAAGGGTAAAGAGGGCCAAATATATGGTGATGGAAGATGATGTGACTTCAGGTGGTGGGAACACAATGCAATATACAGGTCATGTATCACAGAAATGTTCACTTGAAACGTACATGATCCTATTAATGTCACCACAATAAATTTAATTAAAAATAATATTGACCACTGTGGAGAACAGTATGGAGTTTCCTCAAAAAATTAAAAATGGAACTCCCAATTGACCCAGTGATCCCACTTCTAAGAAACAAAAAACACCAATCAGAAAGGATATATGCACCCCTATGTTCATAGCAGCACAATTTACCATAGCTAAGATTTGGAAACAGCCTAAGTGCGCATCAGCAGGTGAGTGGATTAAAAACCTGTGGTAGATCTGCCCAATGGAATACTATGCTGCAGTAAAAAAGAAGGAATTCTTATCATTTGCAACAGCATGGATGGAACTGAGAGCATTATGCTAAGCAAAATAAGCCAGTCAGAGAAAGGTAAATATCACATGATCTCACTCATTTATGGAATATAATGAACAACATAAACTGATGAACAAAAACAGATCCAGAGACAGAGAAGCATCAATCAAACTGTGAAACCTCAGAGAGAAGGTAGGGGAGGGTGGGAGTGAGGGGGAGAGACCAACCAAAGGACTTGTATGCATGCATATAAGCCTAACCAATGGACACAGACAACGGGGGGGTGAGGTCATGAGTGGGAGGAAATGGGGTGATAAGGACACATATGTAATACCTTAATCAATAAAGAAAAAAAATAATAGTCTTGGCCAATAGTAAATGGAATGGTTTTCATACTGATGGGAGATAGTATCACATGCAAAGAGACCTTGTTATTTTATTTTAATTTTACCTTAAAACAACTTTGCAAGAATTCAAGATTATGCAATGCTCAATCTTAACTTTAACTTTTACATGCGAACTCATGTCCTGCCTATCTCTGTTTTGCCTTTCCCTCTGACCTTGACTTTCTCCTTTATTTCTAATGTTTCTTGTTTCAGGTAATAAAACAGAATGTAAGCATTAATTCAACCAACCTCGTACTGAGCAGAGAAGAAGATATAGTCAAATCAACAAGTCATAAGAAATGATAATTAATTTTTCCTAGGCTGCCACCAATTCATCCCCAAGTCTAAAGTCAATGTTCTACTTCAATTCTTTATAATGTAAAAAGAATAAGAACATTAGATTAGATTATCTGGTTAAATATCACACTAATATATCAATAACTGATTTATAACAAGCAACCAGAGGTGCTTGGTGAAAGTTTAGCTTCATGGACCCTCCCCGAGATATTCTGATTGACCAGGTCTAGGTTGGTGGCCCAGGAATCTGGGTTCTAACAGGAAGTCCATGTATTACTTTGAGAAACTCAGGGAAGGGTTTATAATGCAGGCTTTGTGAAATACAATTGGAATTTTATTCTCAGTTCTAATACTGACTGTAGCATTGCAAAAGTTACTTCGCTTGGCTAAGCTTTATTTTGCTATTTATAAAATAGGAGTAATAGTATTTATCTTTGTTGTTTATTCTTAATATATTAAAATATTTATTTAAAAGACCTGACACATAATTAATACATAATAAATGGTGTATCATTACTGGTAGTACCCATTATTATCAACACTATCATCATCACCATTTTTGTCCCCATTAATTCCTGTATACTCACTTTAGGGAAGCACAGCAGTGCTAGAGGACATAATGAGAAACCTTTACATGTATTTGTTTTTTCACTTTAGAGAACCTAATTAAAATCCAATGCACTGCACTGAGGGCATGTGTTCTAAGTTACCATTAAGTTTCTTTGCTTTTGGCAAGAATTCTCCAGCTCCATGTGGTAATTCTCATGCTGCTCAGAGGCAGTACTTGGCTCTTTTATGTGTCTTTTTAAAAAACAAACCAATTAATTTTTATTTCATAAATGAAATTTGCTTCATTGATAATATCATAAAATATGGAAACAACAGTGCACATATTTTTTGTTGTCTTCCTTGTTGAATAATTTACATGTTACATTTTGAACTGTTTTTGAAAGGATTGGCTGCCTTATACAGGCAGTGCAAAGTAACACATAGAACAAGTTGGGGTAAAATAACTAGGATCATTTAAAAATGTATTATCTAATTTCAGAAATCCTTTTACATGAAGGAGAGGAAACCGGAGCTTTGCTTCAAAAATTGGCATTTAAGCCATCCTCTCTCTCATTGAATAACAGACATAATGACTACATCATCACATTTCCATATTTTTATGCTGTACTATAAGAAGTGTCAAGTGTGATATCTCAGACTCAGGAAAAAACACAATACGGTAATTTTAGGCCAATAAAACTTATGGGGAAATACACAGAAATATTCAATTTCGCATGACAAGCATTCTCGCTTGCATTGATATACATGTATACAGTGGCACACTGGCATTGCCCGTCAATTTAATTTGTACCCAGGTGGAAAGATGTCTCCAATTAATAAGACAGCTGATTTCACCAAATAGCATCAAGTGTAAACACTACATTTATTGCAAATAGAAGGATGCTCATAATAGAATCTTACAAACACTAAACTGGCTTCTATTATCAGGACCAGGAATAATAATGCTCCTAATAAACCAGTATTAGAACCAAATCCCAAGCACACCAATAAACCTGCTGCCAGAGTTATTTAATGTGTTTTAATTCAAGGAGCATGTGGCTCTAATCTAGATTCTGTGGGCACAGCAGACTGTTAACTCCAATAGTCCTGTGTGATGCTACCCCGAATAGCTGATAATTGGGGCAGGTCAGTTCTTCAGGCTTTATCTCTCATTAGCACTAAAAAGGCACACTCCAAACTATGACAGAGAAAGACTCAATCTTGCTCTATTAGAAACATTAAAGGGAGGACAAATGAAGCTCTATTTTCAGAGGGAGGAAGCCAATTATACAATAATCAAACGTATCCATTTCGGGGAGCTACATCCCCCAGCGAGACATAATGCATCAAGTCAACCCACAATACTATACTACTAGAAAAAGAGTTTCCCTTCTCTCTGAAACTCTCGCCCCACTCCACTCCCCCAAAAGGGCTAAGGTTACCTTTCTCACAGTGGCTTCCTGTGAATCCAGAAGGACAGACACATTTGTTAGGCGCCACGCATGTTCCACCATACCTGCAGCCCTCTTCGCAGAATGCTGTTGCAAAAGAATGAGGAATTTCTATTAGATAAAATGGGAATAAGAAAACTCATGGTAAATGGCATAAGCATTGAAATCATTCCTTCTTTGTTGCATAGGGAATACATAGTTGTGCTGACATATTTAAAAGTTTTGGCCATGAAAAGAAATAATACTTACTTCACTGATTTACATAACGTCAGTTGTGGTAATGGAGGTAAAGTGTTTAGCACTGGGCTGAAATGTGCTAAATGGTAACTAGTATGAGCAGCTATTACTGTTGCTATTGTGACTTATTATTGACATATTTGAAATCAAATAGGATAGACCTAGTAACTAGAAAGAATAGGATTGGGATAAAAGCAAAGCCAGGCATTTTAAATACTCATTTTGTAACCCCCTTTTTTTTTGTCTAAACATATTTATTACAATAAAAACATTTTTACATCAGCTTTAAAATAGGTGGACAGATATAATTTTGATAACATAATAAATTCAACCACTTATTTTTTAAAAGAATTATTTTTATTTAATCCTCATGGTAGGAACTTTTTTTAAATATATTTTTTATTGATTTTTCACAGAGAGAAAGGGAGAGGGATAGAGAGCTAGAAACATCGATGAGAGAGAAACATTGATCAGCTGCCTCCTGCACACTCCCCACTGGGGACGTGCCCGCAACCAAGGTACATGCCCCTGACCAGAATCGAACCTGGGACCCCTGAGTCCGCAGGCCGACGCTCTATCCGCTGAGCCAAACTGGCTAGGGCCAACCACTTATTTTTTAACAAAATTTAAGATGTTTCCAATATTTCTGTACCAAAAGTGATGCCTTTCCAGTATAGCTAGAATGTTTAGTACACCCCAAATTATCCCTTTAGGGAAAAGGGCTCAATGTGAAAATACAGTTTTAGAGAGTGCGGAGTTTGTTAAGCCTTTTGACAAGCATTGCAGAGTTATGCAACTCCCTCCCAGTGCTCCCCTGCTAGCCTTCCCACAATGGGTAAGTTCCCCTCATTACACACCCGAATAGCATAGCATAGCTCCATGCACAGCTCCATACACCTCTCGTTGGTAGTATTAAGTATTATTGTTTATTTATGTATGAATGCTTATCATTTCCTGTCTCACCCGTTGGGATTGTACGGCCCATAAGGATAGGTCACATGCTTCTTTTTTTGCACCCCATTGTGCATACAAAGCATTAGTAGCTGAGTGCATGGTAGATACTCAAAACATATTTGCCTAATGAATTAACTTATATTCTGCAGGTTGTTCTGACCGAAAAACTCTTCCTCCAACAACTCTGCAGCACTTCCATCCAGAACAACTTACTATGCAACCTTGCTGGATAACTGATAATTTAGTGTACTACCACTGCAAAATGTCTCATTAAGGAAGACGATTGCAACTTGTTAACCCAGGGTTTCTTTTATTCACAGAAGAGCGAGGTGAGAAATTATTTTATTTTTAATTGCAGTTAGAAAATGTCAGCCTGGAAAAATGTCATGGTTATATTTTGCCATCATTACATAAATAATATGGGTTTAACTTCAAAAAAGCCACTGAACATCTTTAGGTAGTTGAACGCTAGTTCAAAGACACAGAAATTCTCACAATATTGTCATTTTTCACATCATTTAATATCTACTATATGATTTAACATTTTGGAGCTTAGCAATTAATTGTGAGTTCCTTTGCTCCTGCCAACGGATAGATAATGGGTACCTTAGTATTCGAATACCATTTCCTCTTTCCAGCATTTAACTACCATGAGCCTATGTACACACACACACACACACACACACACACACACACACACACTGTATTGCCCCCAAAATTACACCTTGTGGGCTCTGGTGATGGACCTTTCAAAAGTGTAGCTCCATATCAAAGTTAATAAGAGAACAGTAAACAGTAAAGTGTTTTTGAAGCTAAAAGTGACAGAAAGCTATAAAGGAAAGTTTCAAGTGGCACCAAAAGAAGACAGAGGTTTGGAAGCAGGAAGTTCAGCATGGGTTTCTTCAGTAATGCAGTCAAAGCAGCACTTGATCTAGATTTGTGTGTGAGCATACATTCAAACATGCATACTCACACACGTGTGCACACACAGATTGTAGAACTTGTTAGGAGACTTGGTGTTGTTTCATGATACATGTGTGCTCTTGATTTATGCAACCCTTAAACAGAAACGATGATAGGAGGTTTTTGAAGAAAGCATGAGATGCCTGTGATGTCCTATGAATGTAAAGATGTGACAATGTACACCCCTATGTTCATAGCAGCACAATTCACCATAGCTAAGGTTTGGAAACAGCCTAAATGCCCATCAGCAGATGAGTGGATTAGAAAACTGTGGTACATCTACACAATGGAATACTACACTTTTGGAAAAAAGAAGGAATTCTTACCATTTGCAACAGCATGGATGGAACTTGTGAGCATTATGCTAAGTGAAATAAGCCAGTTGGAGAAAAAAAAATACCCCATGATCTCACTCATTTGTGGAATATAAACAACATTATAAATTGATGAACAAAAATAGATACAGAGGCAAAGAAGCATTGAACAAACTGTCAAACTACAGCGGGAAGGTTGAGGAGGGTGGAGGGGAGGTAAGAGATCAACTGAAGGACTTGTATGCATGCATATAAGCATAACCAATGGATGCAAGACACTGGGGTGGGGGTTGAGGGCATGTGCCAGGGGTGCGGTAGGGGAGACCAGGGAAGGTCAATGGGGGGAAAAAGGAGACATATGTCCTACTATTTGTAATACTTTAAACAATAAAATAAAAATTTAAAAAAAGAACATACCTAATAAATGGGGTGTTACGAGGATGAAATGAGTTAACATTTGCTAGTGACTTTAAATTGTGTTTGGTGCATAGTGTTATAATGTGCTTTTTGAAATAAAACTAATTATAATGATAGCAATGCTATTATGACTGTGCATCATGGACCCAGAATAAATTTTCCATCTAATACTCAGATAATTAAACCCAGCCTGAAGGTGTCCATTTTCACCAAGATAAGTTGCTATGACCTTGTGATTGATGCTTGCTTTAGTTTCTAATGAAGGCAGTTGTGGCCCTTATCCTGGAGCTATCAGAGATATGTTACTGTTTCCATTGTACACACCGTGAAGTAGGGGCTCAAAAATCAAGTTGCCTCTAAGGCTACACAGGTAGTACAATGCAGGTTTATCTGCAATCTAATATTCACATAGGCAGGCTTCTTCCTTTTTTGAATAGCTTCATAAGGGCTAAGGGAACTGAATACAAGTTTAAAAAAACAACAATGTATCACCCTAGCTGATTTGACTCAGTGGATAGACCATCGGCCTGTGGTCTGAAGGGTCCCAGGTTCGATGCTGGTCAAGGGCACATGCCTTGGGTTGCAGGCTCTATCCCCAGTGTGGGACGTGCAGGAGGCAGCCGATCAATGATTCTCTCTCATCATTGATGTTTCTATATCTCTCTCTGTCTCTCTTCTTCTCAGTATTGCACATGTGACATTAAAAAGGGTAGGTAGGGAGCTGTTCAAGTTCATGCACTTGTAATCTAACCTCCGTTACGGTATGAGCCTAGTGATATTTCACCTAATCTAGGCATATACTATTTTTAATGGAATGGATCTCAAGTAAAGAAAAAATTCATTGCCTACATGCACCTTACATAAAACAACAAAGTAATTTCAAAAATGATACCAAAAGAAGAAGAAGAAGAAGAAGAAGAAGAAGAAGAAGAAGAAGAAGAAGAAGAAGAAGAAGAAGAAGAAGAAGTAAGGAGAAGAAGAAGCATGTCATTGCAAATTTAAACTACTGTGGGGAAATCAAGTCAACGCACATTTCTTTTGGATACCTCATAAAACATCTAAGTATACTGTTGTATCTGAGTCTAAAGCTTGTGGATAGATCATGTGTATCTGGGTAGGTTCTTATTGGTCATTTAGGAACCTAGCAGTTCAAAGAAAAGGACTCTGATACTCTGAGCACCTGTAATTTGCACAGCATTACTTGGCAGATGGCATGACCCAAACAAGTCCCCACTGCATTTCTTTCTAGCATATGAGGAGATGGGGTGGTAGAAACTACCTGGTCCAAATCCTTGCTCTGTATGTAATAGGTCTGTGACCTACAGCAAATTATTTCACCTCTCTGGACCTAAGTTTTCTCAAAAGCAAAACAGTAACGATAATAAGTATAACACCCAGGCTGTGCAGGTTAAATTAAATTACGAACGGAAATGACCCAGGCACAGGCACTGCCAGTGGAACGTGCTCAAAAGCTACATATGATTATTGTTATTTCTCAATAGGACTCTGCTTTTCCGAATAACAATATCACTGTGCACTAGTTTATGTTCTAGATTCTGCAGATGCAGTGGTGAGTCAGACAGCAAAGATCCCTGTGCTATGGAACTTATTCTACTAGTTCAGTGAGGGCACATTACCACTCCTTCTTGGACTTGATGGCCTTCACAGTGTCATGGGGCTTCCAATGGAACTTGGCCCCTCTGTAGACTCAGGAAAACTCAGGCATCCTGGTATGTTGCTCCCTTGTCAACCAATTTCCAGATTCCCAAGTATGGCTTGAACAGATTGTAGATACACAATAAGATTACAAACCTGAATCTGCCATTGGTTATTAACTTACACCCCAGGGAGATAATGGATGGGGTCAACTCTAAAATGGCTTGATTTCTATTTCTGAAAGGACTCTTTGCATTGTGTAAGAAAATAAAATCACAGAACTCAAAATTAAGGGAGAGATAATTCACAGAAAGACTACTTTTTTATATTCAAATTTTCTCAGCATGAGAAATGACACTCGGAGGTTAAGGGAAACAAAATGAGAAGGTGGGTTTGCACATGTCAAGGGTGTGGATGCCCAGTATTCCCATCATGTGCTCAACTGGACAAGAATAGTTTTATACTAACAAAAAGTAATAGCCCTTCAAGTCTAAACACTTTGCATGATCTTCTCAAAGATTTACTGGCATGTGTTTAGTTCCAAGG